GAAAGTTATGAAGTATTTAAATAATGAGTCTAGTAATGAGTCGGAAATCAGCAATTTATTCGCGGATTATTTTGCCACTACTTACTCTAATTCCCAATACGATGATAGCACTATGCATCCACTTAATATTCAGTCAAATCAACAAATTTTATCATGTTTAATTGATACTACCCACATCGTTAAATGTTTAAAAAGTTTTAAATCATCATTCGCATATGGTCCGGATGGTATACCAAGCTGCATATTAATAAATTGCGCACATTCTCTGGCATTTCCTTTATCCATTTTGTTTAATAAATCGTTAAAATATGGTTATTTTCCTAGAATTTGGAAAAAATCTTTTATAATCCCTCTATTTAAGTCTGGAAACAAATCAAATGTAATGAACTACAGAGGCATAGCTAAACTTAGCGCAATCCCAAAGCTGTTCGAAAAATGTATAACCGATTCACTGGTTCACCAAGTTTCTCCCCTATTGACACCCCTTCAACATGGTTTTCGCAAAGGATTCTCTGCTATGACAAATATTCTACAGCTAACAACTTTAGTTAATGAAGGATTTGTTAATGGTCAACATACCGATGTTATTTACACCGATTTTAGCAAAGCTTTTGACAAAGTAAATCACCTACTCTTGCTAAAAAAAATGGATGCTTTAGGATTTAACGATAGTTATCTAAGCTGGTTTAAATCGTATCTATTATTTAGAAAACAATCCGTAAAATTTAAAACGTCAACCTCCAAAACTTTTTTGGTTACATCTGGTGTTCTTCAAGGAAGTCATCTTGGCCCAATTTTGTTCTTAATCTTCATCAACGATATGCCAAAAGCTATCAAATATTCTAAAATATTAATGTTTGCGGATGATGTAAAAATATTTTCAAGCTTTAAACATCCATCAGATCGTATTTACCTTCAGAACGACTTCGATAATTTCTACGTCTGGTGTAAGCAAAATTTAATGGATTTAAACTTAACAAAGTGCAAACACATACATTTTTCAAGAAAATTTGATACTAGCATTTTTTACACCATTAATGGCTCCAAATTGGATTCTGTTGACATCATTCTGGATCTCGGAATTTTGCTGGATGCAAAATTGACTTTTGTTCAACATATAACAATGATTGTTAATAAAGCCCGTAGCATTTTAGCCTTCATTAAACGATGGTCAAAAGAATTTAATGATCCATTTATAACTAAACGACTATTTGCTTCTCTTGTATGGCCGATATTGGAATATGGATCAGTCGTATGGGACCCGTATTACAATGTGCATATTGATCATATTGAATCTGTGCAAAAACAATTTTTATTATTTTGCTTAAAGAGCATATATGGGAACTATTCTGAACTGCCACCGTATGCAGCAAGACTTGCTTTGATAAATCTACCAACACTGAAAAGTCGCAGGACAATGCTTAATGTGTCATTTATGATAAATCTTCTAAATGGAACTGTATGTTCTGAATTTCTATTAAGTAAAATTTCTTTAAATGTTCCTCAACGTCAATTACGATTTAATAATCCATTATACGTCAAAACGTTTCGAACAAATTTCGCTATGGCAGATCCGTTTAGAAAGTTATGTTGCTGTTTTAACGAAATGTTTAACTTTGTTGATTTTTCTTTAAATGTTGATGTTATAAAAAGAAATATATTATATAATCTAAATAATTAACGTTATTCTATGTTTAAATTTAAATAATTTTATAAATTGTTAAATAGTCTGTAAGGAATATTTCCATAGACTAAAATAAATAAATAAATAAATAAATAAAAAAAAAAAGTGAAGTTCAGTGTAAATGCTGCAACCAAGGCTGAGGAAATAATGCTAGATATTCCACCCATTGAAACATAAATATATAAGATATGAGGCGGCACTTACAGCCGAACGGCTCATAACTTTAGGCGAACTGGCCAAAAAGCGGTTATGGGACACGTCATTAATGTATAGTGAATACATTGTATACCGACAACCAGGTTAGGTTTACATCATATAGATACCAGGCGATTTGGGAGTTGTCGGCTGTGAAAGAGCAAATGTAATATCTTTAAAGGGAAGGAAGCTCGAGGTAGTTAACAGAACGAACGCAAAACTATTTAACGCAACAAGGACAGAATTAAAATTATGGATGAAACCCATAAGTTCTTTTGGAATAATGAAACCACAAAGATCCTATTGGGTGACCCTAAAGAACAAACAAGTCTGAGGTTAGTATGATGGTACGTATTCTGAGTGGAAACATGGGATTACGGGCACGGTTATACAAAACTAGACGTGAGGATTCAGACGAGGAATTAGGTCCAGGAAACTGAGTTTCTGGACATCGGATGATAATACATTTAGTGAATACTATATACGGTTTTTGTTTTTACCAAAAAACATCTTGCCCGAAAAGGAGCGCACAACAGGCCCGATAGTGGCCCAGGTATATTTCTCAGGATGTATATACATTATCCTATAACCTAACCTAATCAAATTGTAATTTACTTCGTAGTAGATACATCTCCCAATAGGTTTTCAGTTTTTTCGAGCATCCTTAATGTCATCTAACTGTTATGTTTCAAATATCAGAAAAGGTCCATTGTAAAGGCCCATTGAAAAGACTACTACCGCTAGCGCTGATAAAAATACCAACAATTTATTGATTAGCCATGATTGAGGCTATCCGAAACATCCACCCGGGCGAAGCGGCAATCAAAGATAAGATACATATAACTTTAATACAGGAACCTTGGAAACAAGCTTTCTTTTCTACTGTGACTCCTCCAAATAACTAAAGTTTTCTTCTCTCATCAGGATTGTCAACGTCGGATGAAACAGTGTTGAAAAAAGCATGGAAATATATGGACAATCCGAAATTTGCAACAAGGTTAGTACTATTGGATAGTAGGCCAGACAGAAATTTTCAGCTCTATCGATCAAGAACTGCCGAACTTTGAGGGGGTAAAATTTGGACATTTTGGTCATACAGGGCAAAAATTGTCTAAAGGATTTCAGATAGATATTTCTTTAATGTGTCCAAACAAATTTTTCTCAAATTTTTTTTTTGCCCATATATCTGTCTATTTCCAATGAAACTGGTTGATGAGGTACAAAAAAAGGTAAAACAAGTAAGAGTTTTATAATCGATCACGCCGAATCTTATATATCCACCATCAAAAATTGTTGACCGATCCTCAGAAAAGTTGGTTCTTACAAAACTTGTGTATGTTGAATTTCATCGTTATACTCGTATGTATTTTTAAGGTAGTAATGAGCGGTAAAGTAATTTTGTGAAGGGCAATTTGTACGGGGGATAGGGCCAAATATAGACCGATCCCCACAAATTGGATTTTGGCCTATGTAAAACTTGTTTATATCGAATTTCATAGCTGTATTTTTATTTCTGAGTCAGTAATAAGCGTTAAAGTAATTTTCTGAATTGGACCTAATATGGGGAGTAGGGTCAATTAGAGAGAATATGGTTCATTCAAAACTTGTTTTTTGCTGAATTTCAACGCTGTACTCTCATTTCTGAGCCAGTAATAATAAGTGTTAAAGTACATTTCTGAAGGGGACATTATATGGGGGGTAGGGTCAATAACGGATCGATTCTCACAAAAGTTGGTAGAGAGATTCTAACTAATACAAAACTTGCTTCTATTGAATTTTATCGTATGTACTCGAATTTCTGAGCCAATTTCCCACAGGACTTGTCCTGGCTTGTCAGTTGGTTGAGGTTTCTTCGGGATCCACGTAGTGGCTGTGGTTTATACCCAAATTCGCGGGGAGTGCATGTTGGTTTAAGGATTGATATATCCAAATGCCAATATGTCTGGATTCTCTCGTAGTAGGGTAGCGTATACTGGCGCCCTAAGTATAGGTTGGGGAATTTTCTGGTTGACACTTGGTAGTTGCCTGTCATCCCGTAGATAGTTCTTTATGGTCTGATAATGGAACTGATGGTGTCTAGCTCCTCCCGTCTAGCTCCTCCCGTGTGATCCCTATCGGAAATCACGATAGGGACAGACAGACAGTAGGAAATGGCTAGATCGTCTAGAGAATCTAATAAGGACCCAGAATATATGTATATACTTTTATGGGTCTTAGGCGAATATTTCGATGTGTTTTTTGATGCTGGGTATAAAAAAAGTAATGTTAATCCTGACACAAAGCACAGCGAACAGACCCTTATGTATTTGATTTTAATGAATTTAGATACAAAAGTCACTTTTGTTTTTGTGAATATATCTCAAAGAAGATCAGTTGACAGAATGGCATACAACATTTTATAAATAAAGTTGTCTGGGCGCTGTTATATCAAAATGAGCCAAAAATCGAGTTTTTCAAACTTCAGAACACGATATCTTAAATCCCTGATAACTTGGTCTCTAGGTTTAGATCATAATTATGTTACATTTTATAAAAAATATTACAAAATTTCCGTAATCTTTTCCCCAAAAGTTAAACCCCTTTCCGTACTTTGACGTTTTTGTTGTTGTAGGGCATCCAATAGCCTTCACTGCCTGTTAAAAAAACAAACAAATTTTATGTTCCTGATTTTTTTATTTGAAAAACAAACAACACAGTGGTCATTTTTATATAAATAAACATAAAAATTCTAAATAAATGTGGTCGTTTTTGTGTTAAGAACACTTTAAGTTCATACGTACTCGCAACCATTAGAATTTTTATTTTATGGATATCAGCTGATGAAGAGGCAGCATCCACAAAATGTTTAACACAAGCAACTAAATCTACCACGACGACTAAACGAAATTGGGGATAAAGCAAGAACAAGATGAACAAAATCAGCAAACAAAAGAAAATCGAAACAAAAACAAAAATCAACTAAAACGTCATTTATATGAGAATTAGGGAAAAAAACTCTTTCTTTCTTTCAAACCTCAAAACATTGTCGTCATCATCATCGGCATCAGCATCATCATCATGTTCCTCATCGTTTCCATCATACAATCAGCATGGATGTCGAGTTAAAGACGCCGCCAGCCAGCATTTTCATTTGGCGAGTGGCGACTTGTTTCAGTATGATTTTTATTTAAGAACGAAACGGTCGGTTTCTATAGTTTATCTCGCCGCCAATAGTAAAATAATTCTTCTAGTCAAAAACGAAAACAAAAAAATACTTAAAATTATAAAATCATTAAAACGGCAAAAAGCGTGAAATATTTTTTTATATATATTTTTTTAAATAAAATTTAGTTTTTTTATCTTAAAAAAAGAAACAAAAAAGTTATGAAATTTTTTTTAACGCTGGCGTTAACAAATTGTGAATGCAAATTAATAAAATAATATTAAAAAAAAAAAATATTTTTTAAAATAAAAATAATCACAAAAAGAATTTAATTAAGTGCAAAAAATTTCTCTCAATCAACCATCCATAAAGTGCAAATTATATATTTTATATTAAAACAGATTAAGGCATTTATATTTAAAACTAATTTAAATTTAGTTCCTTTTTTTATAACAAAAATACTTATAACAACTAAGAGGTAAAAGACCACAAACAACTGCAACAAAATTCATTCAAGTGAAAGTAAAATTGCTAACACGGCAACATGTCACAGTCTACGCCCACACCACCTCCATCGAGATTTACCAATCGACCACCACGCATCAATATAAAAAATCTTTACAATAATAATGGCTCAGCCATGGGCTCAATGCCACCCTCAGCTCAACCACCCATTACCGCTCAGACATCCAATACCTTGGGTCCGGGTTCTGTTGCCGGTCAACCGTATTGGCCACAGTATTCAAATCCCTTTGCTGCCGGCAATTTTATGGCCAGAGGTTTTGATGGCATTGTTGATTTCACCAAGTCTGGCATGAGTTTTGGTGAAAAGTTCACTTATGGTTTATACGATAAGATCAGTAAATGGTCTAAGAAATGGTTTACTCATTTTTTTCTGCTGACGGTAGTGTCACTTTATACTGTCGGTGGTGCTCTTGTATTTCAAGCAATAGAAGGTAGGTGTGCAATAATTATAGAAAGGTTATACCCCGAGTTCCTGCTTTAAAGAAATGATCGTACATTCTATATATTTCGGACGGACAAACAATTTGTAGCAAAATTTATTTCAGTCTCTTAGATTTTGAATATCAACAAGTAATAGTGTTATATTCAGTTATAGCGCATCTTATATACCCTGCAAACATTAAGGTAATCCAAAAACTACTCCCGTATAAACATTATTGGAGTATGTAATAAGTTTAGTAGTCCTATGAATGCAGACATGGACAAGGTCCTTAGCCTGCATTACATGGGACCACGTTAAGGATCCTGAGTTCCTATAATTAAAGCAAGAGAGTAGTAGTTGGGATAACCTACTCCGATGTAAAGCATGGATGGATTAATTGGTCCTCACCTAGGACAACACAAGGATATTGGAATAGTCTCAATTGTTGCAAGGTACCCACCATCAATTAGTATGTCGTAAAAGAAATGTAACCCGAATAAACATCAGGGTGATATTTGTAATAGGGCTTAAGTAAATTATGGATTAGCTTATGGATTATGGATGTAGCTCCTTTCAACTAGTAAAATATTAATCTTTATGAACATAGTATTGTGGACGGTAGGGTTAATTATAGACCGATTGACGTAAAATTTAATGAATACATAGATATTCGAATTTCTTCACTGTACTAGAATTTTTAATAAAGTCTTGAGCGTTTATTTCGAATTTCATCGCTCTCGAATTTTTATACTAGTAATTCAACATTAAAGTAATATTCTGAAGGGGGCTTTATGTGGGTAGTTAGTTAGTTAGTTAAATAGTTAGTTAGTTAGTTAGTTAGTTAGTTAGTTAGTTAGTTAGTTAGTTAGTTAGTTAGTTAGTTAGTTAGTTAGTTAGTTAGTTAGTTAGTTAGTTAGTTAGTTAGTTAGTTAGTTAGTTAGTTAGTTAGTTAGTTAGTTAGTTAGTTAGTTAGTTAGTTAGTTAGTTAGTTAGTTAGTTAGTTAGTTAGTTAGTTAGTTAGTTAGTTAGTTAGTTAGTTAGTTAGTTAGTTAGTTAGTTAGTTAGTTAGTTAGTTAGTTAGTTAGTTAGTTAGTTAGTTAGTTAGTTAGTTAGTTAGTTAGTTAGTTAGTTAGTTAGTTAGTTAGTTAGTTAGTTAGTTAGTTAGTTAGTAAGTTAGTAAGCTAGTTAATTGTTGATCTGTGCAATTCATAGATTTCGATCCATAATTGAAGCAAGGTCCTACATATGGTCTTCTTTCGAAAAACGTCCTAATGTTCATAAGCATAAATCTAAAATTGTGTTAATTGATTCGAAAGGATCGTTCCATAAGGACTTGAGTCAATCTAAAGGTTCAACATCCGAAATTCTCTTCAGTAATTAGTACAACAGGTACCCTTTTGGAACTAATTTTTTATTGTTTTTTTAATTGAGAAAAATAAACAATAAGATCCTCATTTTAAGATTTTCAATTTCCCATTAATACAATTCCAATAATTAATTTAAAGAAAATGTTCTTAATTATCATAAATTAACAACTTATTTTAATAAAACTTATTGATTAACTAATTATTCTAGTTAATACGATTTACTACTAAATAGTTTCGAATAATGATCGATTTCAAGATGAATTACTATTTTAATATAGTGTACATAAAATATAATGATTTAAAAGATTAATTTCAAAATAAACAATTTCTGAATGGAAAAATCTAATGAATGAAAATTTAACTAAAAATTTTTCATTCAACTACAAAAGAAACTCACGTTGTAGTAGTAAATGAAATAAAATAATTGATGATTATGATCATGTTTGCTTATGTTTATGTTGATTATGTCTAATTAAAAAACAATTTCGTATGAAAAATTAAAAATGGAAATAGTGGAAAAACAAATAAACAAACACAAAGAATATAAAATAATAAATATGGAAAACTATAAATCTAAATAGTTTAACATAAAACATGAGGAGTGTGGGAACTAATTTTAATTTTACATACATATATATATTTGGACATATGTTTACTTGTATTTTCAAAATGATCCGCAGACGATTTCATATTTCATACATATGTAAATGCCTCCATAATGCCAAAAGGATTTACCATCAACAAGTACAAGTTTTTAATTCGGCAGTGCTGAAGTTTATATACCCCAATATTGGACTAAATTCGGGTAAATAGTTTGGTACTTTTTGAACATATACATACATAATTGATCATTTGATTGATCACAGATTTGCATAGTTTGAGTTTTATCTTTTATATACAGATTTAACTACGGAGTATTTTAAAAACTTAATCCTCGAAATTAATCCATCAAATGGTACTTTCTATAGTGATTTAATTTGGAATCGAGAAACGTAAATTTTACACGACTGAATTAGAATCAAAAAGAGTTTACTGTTTGGTACTTTAAATGGTACTTTTTGATTTTTTTCTAATAAGTAACCAAATTAATTTTGAACTACATTTTATTAAGTAGGAAATTAAGAAAAATTCTTTAATAAATAAATGAATTAAAAGAGAACTTAAAAGAGGAAGACTAGACTAAAGTCCAGAATATGGACTATACTATAGTCAAAACTGTAGACTATACTATAGTCCAGACTATAGACTATACTATAGTCCAAACTATAGACTATACTATAGTCCAGACTATAGACTATACTATAGTCCAGACTATAGACTATACTATAGTCCAGACTATAGACTATAGTATAGCCCAGACTATAGACTATACTATAGTTCAGACTATAGACTATACTCTAGTCCAGACTATAGACTATACTATAGTCAAGACTATAGACTATACTATGGTCCAGACTATAGACTATACTATAGTCCAGACTATAGACTATACTATAGTCCAGACTATAGACTATACTATAGTCCAGACTATAGATTATAGACTATATTAAAATCCATACTATAGTCCAAACTAAAATCCAGACTATAGTCTATAATACACTAGACTATAGTCCAGACTATAGACTATACCATAGTCCAGACTATGGACTATACTATAGTCCATACTATAGATTATAGTCCAGACTATAGACTATACTATAGTCCAAACTATAGATTATATTATAGTCCAGACTATAGACTAAACTATAGTCCAAACTATAGACTATACTATAGTCCAGACTATAGACTAAACTATAGTCCAGACTATAGACTAAACTAGACTATAGTATATACTATAGACCAGACTATAGACTAAAACATAGGCCAGACTGTAGACCATACTAAAATCCAGACTATAGTCTAAAGTGAAATCCGGACTATAGACTATACTATAGTACAGTCTATAGACTAAACTATAATCCAGACTATAGACTAAACTATAATCCAGACTATAGTCTATACTGTAGTCTAGACTATAGACTAGACTATAGTCCAGACTATAGACTATACTATAGTCCAGACTATAGAATATGCAATAGTCTAGACTATAGACTATAGTCCAGACTATAGACTAAAACATAGGCCAGACTATAGACTATACTATAGTCCAAACTATAGACTATAAAATAGTCCAGACTATACTTTTGTCCAAACTATGGACTTTAGTATAGTCCAGACTATATAGTTCAGTCTATAGACTAAACTATAATCCATACTATAGTCTAGACTATAGACTAGACTAGACTATAGTCCAGACTATGGTCTATACTATAGTCCAGACTATAGAATATGCAATAGTCCAGACTATAGACTATACTATAGTCCAGACTATAGACTATACAATAGTTCAGACTGTAGACTATACTATAGTCCAAACTATAGACTATACAATAGTCCAGACTATACTTTTGTCCAAACTATGGACTTTATTATAGTCCAGACTATATACTATACTATAGTCCATACTATATAAAATGCAATAGTCCAGACTATACCATAGTCCTGACTGTAGACTATACTATAGTCCACACTATAGACTATACTATTGTCTAAACTATGGACTTTAGTATAGTCCAGACTATAGACTATACTATAGTCCAGACTATAGAAAATGCAATAGTCCAGACTATACCATAGACAAGACTATTCAATAGTTCAGACTATAGACTATACAATTTTCCAGACTTTACTAGAGTCCAGACTATAGACTATACAATAGTCAAGGCTATAGACTATGCAATAGTCCAAACTATACTATAGTCCACACTATTGACTATACTATAGTTATAAACTATACTACAGTCCAGACTATAGACTATAAATTCTCCAGACTATATAATGACTTATATGTATGTAAATATTAGCTAGGCGATGAAATTCAGATTAAAGAAGTCTAGTATGACCAGAGAATAGGTCTCTAAACAATATTAATCATATATGTATTGTGATGAGTAATCGACAATACTCTACTATAATTTATTCTTTGCCATTTCTTAGCATTTTTCTGCAAAAATCTTGTTTATCAATACATTAAAAGTTGTTTGACAGCAGATTGTTAAATCAAAGTTCAAAGTTTCTTTTATCTAACAGGATAAAATAAATTTGTTATAGGCAAATATTTATTATAATAAAATAATTTTACTTCCTTTAAGCGAATCCAAAGGAAGTACTTACACACACACCAACAACTCACATGTTTTTACGTCATTGTATTGTAATAATTTAGCTATGGGCATAATATACATACTCAATTACTTGGCAACAGTTTGTCTGGAATCGTGGAGCCAATTGTTTTAACTTTTGGAATTTTTTTTCTATTAAATACTTATTTATAAAATATATATACAAACAAACTTATTAGCAATTAATTGTATTAGTTTAAATACAAGTAGTAGAACATATTTAAGTACATTCTTTTTTCATTTCCTAAATAAATATTTAAAAGATTTTCATTTTGCCAAACAGTATTCCAAAACCAGTGCATTAAATATTAAAATTGCAAAAAACCGATGATGTCATTTGATTTACAACAGATTTGTTGCGTAAAACATTTTGTTTGGATTTAGTTCAATATTAAAAAAAAAATAAACAGTAAAAATAACAACAACAAATAAAGTAACACCAATGTCAAGGTTGTTGTACACAAGTATTTACAAATAAATTATTTAGGGAAATTGTATCTGTTGGATACAATCCATAAACATAGAAAATTAGACCAAGTAACATCATTGTGATGGGAAGGCTGTTTAATGTTCTACAACATTTCAACGATTTGTATACCCTACATCAGGCTAACACACATTGGAGCTCATTTTTACAATGCATAGAAACATACTAGCCTATAGTCCAGATTATAAACTCAACTCAGTGCAACAAACTATATATAGTCTAGTCTATAATCTAGTCTATAGAACTAGACTATAGACTAGACTATAGACTAGACTATAGACTAGACTAGACTAGACTATAGACTAGACTAGACTAGACTAGACTAGAATAGACTATAGACTAGACTAGACTAGAACCTATACTATACTATAGACTAGACTATAGACTAGACTATAGACTAGACTATAGACTAGACTAGACTAGACTATAGACTAGACTATAGACTAGACTATAGACTAGACTATAGACTAGACTATAGACTAGACTATAGACTAGACTATAGACTAGACTATAGACTAGACTATAGACTAGACTATAGACTAGACTATAGACTAGACTAGACTCTAGACTAGACTATAGACTCGACTATAGACTAGACTATAGACTAGACTATAGACTAGACTATAGACTAGACTATAGACTAGACTATAGACTAGACTATAGACTAGACTATAGACTAGACTATAGACTAGACTATAGACTAGACTATAGACTAGACTATAGACTAGACTATAGACTAGACTATAGACTAGACTAGACTAGACTAGACTAGACTAGACTAGACTAGACTAGACTATAGACTAGACTATAGACTAGACTATAGACCAGACTATAGACTAGACTATAGACTAGACTATAGACTAGACTATAGACTAGACTATAGACTAGACTATAGACTAGACTATAGACTAGACTATAGACTAGACTATAGACTAGACTAGACTATAGACTAGACTATAGACTAGACTATAGACTAGACTATAGACTAGACTATAGACTAGACTATAGACTAGACTATAGACTAGACTATAGACTAGACTATAGACTAGACTATAGACTAGACTATACTAGACTATAGACTAGACTATAGACTAGACTATAGACCTAGACTATAGACTAGACTATAGACTAGACTATAGACTAGACTATAGACTAGATAGCTAGACTATAGACTAGACTATAGACTAGACTATAGACTAGACTATAGACTAGACTATAGACTAGACTATAGACTAGACTATAGACTAGACTATAGACTTAGACTATAGACTAGACTATAGACTAGACTATAGACTAGACTATAGACTAGACTATAGACTAGACTATAGACTAGACTATAGACTAGACTATAGACTAGACTATGACTAGACTAGACTATAGACTAGACTATAGACTAGACTATAGACTAGACTATAGACTAGACTATAGACTAGACTATAGACTAGACTATAGACTAGACTATAGACTAGACTATAGACTAGACTATAGACTAGACTATAGACTAGACTATAGACTAGACTATAGACTAGACTATAGACTAGACTATAGACTAGACTATAGACTAGACTATAGACTAGACTATAGACTAGACTATAGACTAGACTATAGACTAGACTATAGACTAGACTATAGACTAGACTATAGACTAGACTATAGACTAGACTATAGACTAGACTATAGACTAGACTATAGACTAGACTATAGACTAGACTATAGACTGGACTATAGACTAGACTATAGACTAGACTATAACTAGACTATAGACTAGACTATAGACTAGACTATATACTAGACTATAGACTAGACTATAGACTAGACTATAGACTAGACTATAGACTAGACTATAGACTAGACTATAGACTAGACTATAGACTAGACTAGACTAGACTATAGACTAGACTATAGACTAGACTATAGACTAGACTATAGACTAGACTATAGACTAGACTATAGACTAGACTATAGACTAGACTATAGACTAGACTATAGACTAGACTATAGACTAGACTATAGACTAGACTATAGACTAGACTATAGACTAGACTATAGACTAGACTATAGACTAGACTATAGACTAGACTATAGACTAGACTATAGACTAGACTATAGACTAGACTATAGACTAGACTATAGACTAGACTATAGACTAGTCTATAGTCTAGACTAGACTATAGACTAGACTATAGACTAGTCTATAGTCTAGACTAGACTATAGACTAGACTATAGACTAGACTATAGACTAGACTATAGACTAGACTATAGACTAGACTATAGACTAGACTATAGACTAGACTATAGACTAGACTATAGACTAGACTATAGACTAGACTATAGACTAGACTATAGACTAGACTATAGACTAGACTATAGACTAGACTATAGACTAGACTATAGACTAGACTATAGACTAGACTATAGACTAGACTATAGACTAGACTATAGACTAGACTATAGACTAGACTATAGACTAGACTATAGACTAGACTATAGACTAGACTATAGACTAGACTATAGACTAGACTATAGACTAGACTATAGACTAGACTATAGACTAGACTATAGACTAGACTATAGACTAGACTATAGACTAGACTATAGACTAGACTATAGACTAGACTATAGACTAGGACTATAGACTAGACTATAGACTAGACTATAGACTAGACTATAGACTAGACTATAGAACTAGACTATAGACTAGACTAGACTAGACTATAGACTATAGACTAGACTATAGACTAGACTATAGACTAGACTATAGCTAGACTATAGACTAGACTATAGGCTAGACTATAGGCTAGACTATAGACTAGACTATAGCTAGACTATAGACTAGACTATAGACTAGACTATAGACTAGACTATAGACTGGACTAGACTGGACTAGACTAGACTATAGACTAGACTATAGACTAGACTGGACTAGACTAGACTAGACTATAGACTTTAGACTACACTATGGACTAGACTATAACCTAGACTAAAGACTATAGACTAGATACAGAATAGACTATAGCCTAGTCTACAAACCATACTATAGAGTAGACTATAGAATAGATTATAGACTAGACTATAGACTAGACTAGAGCTAGACTAGAGACTAGACTAGAGACTAGACTAGAGACTACACTAGAGACTAGACTATAGACTAGAGACTAGTCTGTAGATTAGAATATAGACTATACTATAGACTAGACTTTAGACTAGACTACAGACCAGTCTAGTCTATAGAGTAGATTATAGACTAGTCTACTATGGTCCAGGCTATATATTCTACTACATTCCAGGCTATAGTTTCTACTTTAGTCCAAAATATGGTCTCGTACTACAGACTATACATTATAGTCCAATAATGGGCTACACGATAGTATTGTAATAGAATAAACTCCAGACTTAAGAGTAGACTATAAGCCATACTACAGCTCAGACTATAGTCCAGTCTATTGAGTCGAAGCAGAATATATTATACATACATACTTTGTAATTTTTTTGTAAAATAAATCTCAAATAAAAATTTATTAATTTTTAAAATTATTTACAGGTAGAGAATTTAAGAAAGAACAAATAGATATTCACAATTCACAAAAAGCTTTCTACAGTGCGATAAGAGATCTAGCAAATAATGTGGAGTTATTAAAAGTAAGTTAATTATAAAAAACCTTTTTTATATAAATTAAAAATTATAATTTCTTTTTACATTTTTTAACTTAATAATAGCTCAATCCTGGCTTGTTTGATGGTAAACTAACAGAAGCACTGCGCGATCATCAACCAGCTGTCGAAACACTGCTTAACAATAATAAAACCATGGAGGAGATGGCGAATGAAGCTAATCCATGGTCATTTTGGAATTCCATGTTTTATTGTGGCACCATCTACACCACAATTGGTGAGTAATATGTATTTTTGTTTGTTTCTACATATCTTGCATTATTTATGTTATTTGCTGTCGATTTTTTAAGAAAGAAAAAAAAAATAAAAATGAAAGTAGAAAGTGACACAAATTTCGAGTTCATTGATTTGTATTTTGGCCACTTTTAATGTGATATTCACATTCAAGGGTATTTTATAAGTGCTCGACGACTACTCGTTTCGATTCGTTTCAACGCCCACTTAATTTTACAATTAAAACTGAAAAAGAAAATTATGAAAAATTTATTTTTGAAATGTTTTCATAAAATGTGTGATGAAAATTAAATAAATAAAACAACACTATAAAAATTATAAAAAAAATTGCTGCTAAAATTATATATTTTTACTATAATATTGTTGTTTTTTGTCTAGTGACAAAAATAATTTTTAAGAAAATATTTTTATTCTTTAAACTTGTATGTTGTCTTTGGACTTTTGCAAGTCTACTCTATAAAAAGTCGAAGAAAATATATTTTAATAATAGTTTGTAGTTTCTAGAAGTATATTGGACGACTATGATTTGAATTTTATTACGATTCCCAAATGTTTTGACACTACTGGAAGATTTATAAATCATTAATTTGAAGAAGTTCATAGACCTTTTCTAGATTATTATTCATATGTATGTCTACTTCCCTAAACTCCTAGGTTTCTGTGATTGCGTCATTTCGATATCGTTCAGTGATCGTATGCTTTAGATATGTTTTGAAGATTGCCGTATATGTAGTAATGATAACATTATAGCTCAAGTACTTGATCAAAGTGGACTGGATACAGCTGTTTACAAAATTTGCCTTATACGTGTTCTTTGCAAGCCTCAAAGGGTCAATGATAGGTCACTTTGAGGTTTAAAAAGTACCATCGTGGGATAAGGTACTCACACAAAGCACTCGAACTTCTTCTGTCTTGAGACACCATGCCTCACTTTAATGTTTTTGCAATCCCCGGTTAAAGAGGTGCTACCAGTACTTCTAATCTGTTTCGACTATAAACTGCAAGAGTCCACCGAATCTTCTGGTTCATTTGACTTTACATTTGATTAGAACCTCTTACCTATCTATTACTATTGGAGCAAGTTGATCCCAGCACAATGATACCATGGTGACCCTTGTTGATTTTTCATTTGAATGGAAAATTTCCTTAATGTGGAGGTGGATAAAAACAAGAAAATAAGAGCTCTTGGTGTAAAAAGAATCCTTAAAAAAAACCGGTCTGTGCTATGATCCAACTTTACATTTGATTAGAACCTCTTACCTATCTATTACTATTGGAGCAAGTTGATCCCTGCACAATGATACCATGATGACCCTTGTTGATTTTTCATTTGAATGGAAAATTTCCTTAATGTGGAGGTGGATAAAAACAGGAAAATAAGAGCTCTTGGTGTAAAAAAAAATTCATAAATAAAACCGGTCTGTGCTATGATCCAAAGTCCATCATTATATGATACACTAGGTTGTTTTCTCAGGCTGCCAAAGTCGTACACGTGGATTCTTTTGGCCCCTTTATAATACCTGTAAGTAGTTCAAGAAAGAAAAAACAAATAGGAAAGGAGGAAGTTGTAGTAAGAGAAAAGAGTAGGAGGAAATGAGAGATTAATAGTTAAAAGAGGAAGAATGGAAATTGAGACAGAGAGAGAGAGAGAGAAACTCAAATAGCAGTATCTGGGCTGTTGTTTCATCAAACCAATCGCAATGTCTGGTTAGGTTATCTAGTTTCATGCCAAAAATCGATGTCCAAGCTATCGGAGGCGGATGTTCCATAATGCTGGACGGTGATATACAACATGGTTAATTTATTTCTTTCTTCCTTTTCATCCTCGTCTTGACAGTTTCTGCAGTAGTCATTGTCCGGTGTTCCAAGTGTCATTCCATGATTACCAAATTTATAGTGCACTGTGATGACAGCTATCATTTTGCTGAGTCGTTTTAGTTTCAGAAGATAGTGACCTATCGAGCATTCTCGTTTGAATGCAAGTTGCTTCATTTCTCTATCTTATGTAGGGGAGTTCGTAGCACATATTGACTTGGAAGAGACTAATCTTCCATATTCCTATCGGAGTACCACAGAAATGGTCAATGTCCGAGTGCTCTGTGATGACAGCTATCATTTTGCTGAGTCGCTTTAGTTTCGGAAGATAGTCCGTGCGCTCCTTATCGATCTTCGGCCATATCTTCCTCGTTTATTTCCCCATTTTGTCTGGGAGAGTCCGTAGAACATATTGTCTATACTCCTATCGGGGTCCCACAGGAATGGTCAATGTCTGAGTTGGATTTTAGTGATACTATTTACGCAAGTTCGTCAGTAATACAGTAGACCGTGTCCTCGTAAACATTCGTGCACGTCGTTTAAATGTCTCGACATCCAGGTTAAGGATGTCCGGCATTCTTGGACTAGTCGTAATGTAAAGTATTCACCTATCAAGGAGTTAATTGCAGCTTGACTGTCGGTAAAGATTAGGATATCTTTGTACGATATCCTATGATACCATTTCTGGGGCTGAATTGGACTGCAAGCATTACTGATTTTGAAAGTAATCCTGACCCCAAATTCCGGAATGAAAATGTCTCCCCCTATTTATTCTCCTCCGTGTACACGGTTAGGCTTCGTGGAGAGCGACATTCCTACATTTTCCGAGATGACCAAACTATAGTTTCTCTAGAGGAAGAAGGGCTTGGAGATACAATAATTAATATTATTCGGTAGGTTTTCTATCCTATTGGTAATACTTGCCAATAAGTCCATGTCATCTGTACGACCATACAGTTATTGCATTCAATTTGAGATCTGACCAACAAGTCTGTTCGAATCAAGTTTAGCAACGAAAATAGGAATTTCTTTAAAGCAATTCTAATACATTATCATTTACTCTTGGTGACAGCCCAGATGACAATCTAGATCTCTTTCTGTATCGTTCTGATTTTAGTATACATATTTATAAGTATAAGCGTCCAATCTTCATGTCCTACAAATTAGGCAGAGGTTCATTGTACAAGATTCTTGTGATCTGTCATTGGTACATAAAGAGGATATTTGTCGATTTGTCCAAACTATGCTGGATCTAGATATATATATTTATTAATTATTTACTGTTATATATTATTTAATTACTAATTAAAATAATTGTATTAAAACAATTTTAATTTAATTAACTGAATTATTTACAATAATATTTCTTTGTTTTTAAGTGGACACAACAAATCTTACGTTTTTAGTTGTATAAAATTATTTTTATTACCCACTAAATGTTAGTGTATAAAAGAGGATGTTCCGAAATTCCTGCATGAAATAAAATTGCTGATGAAATTTGCAGTAAGCAGAGGTGGTGGCGTGTCACAATTTCCAGTGACATAATGTCCAGTGTGCTGTATAGCCGGACTTCGGCCGGGCTCTGGAGTTTTATATTCAGAGGTATTTCGAATACCGGCTTCGCTAAATTAAGCCTTTTTTTTGATAAGCGGACTCTTTTAAATCCATGGACTTTATGTCATTTTGTTCGTAGACATTGTGACGTTTTTGAAGGAGTATTAAACTCTGTAGTGTTTCTAAAACCGGCTCTTTAGTGTGTAATAATGTCTATGGACATGTTTAATTTAAAAAAAATATTCTCGTAAATTTGGTAACACCCTTTAAAATGTATATTTTAGTCTCGCAGTCAATTGTACAGGTAGTTTAATATGTATTTTTTCAGAAAATTTTTTTCTAGTATTTTAATTTTAATTTGAAATTTAATTTATTTTTATGTTATTTACGTTTTTTAAGTAGGCGAAGGTGAAATGTTATGGGGGAACGTCTTTCTTTTTGTTTTAAATTTTCTTCATATGGATGCCATTTTTGCTATACTTGACTATTATTTAGTGTTAAATGAACACGTGGCTAATTGGACAAAATGTGGACAATCTGACGGATACAATACTATTTTTAAACCACACCACTCATTTTCTTTGTATGATGATTGGAGGCCTTAAAGAGAAATTATGATCGTGCTTCTGGGAACTATAGACATATCTTGAACAATTTATTGTGACACTCAAGTTGATGACATATTCTTTTGATAATTTGTCGTAATTAATATTGACAAACATACAAACTTTGTTAAAATTTAAAATGTTTTTTTGATCAGAATAGAAATAAACATTTTTATAAGAATTATATTTCCATGTTGAACACTCACGTTGTGGCTATTAGTAATAAGTACTATTTTTGTTCAGACAAATCATACTTGTATTTTGAATGGCAACTTTTCCAGATACATATGTATAATAAATTTGGTTGTCACAACTTAATGTTTGAAATATGTAGTAGATATTTAGTATAAAAATTACTTGTTGTCTAGCAGTAGCTCTCATTTATAATAAACTAGAATATACTAATAGCTTACTGCTATTCACATTGATCAAATATTTGATCACTTGCCGAAAAAGTTTATTTGTTCTTACAAGAGTTTGGTTCAAGCAACCAACATACTAAAGCTCTTTTGCGAATAATTTACTTTAATTTGTTTCAAATCTTCAAAATTTCAAATCAACACTCCCACTAATTACAATTCATATAGAAAAAAATCCTAATTCCAAGAAGTTCAAATTACGTGACAATTTAACATCCAATATACAAATCTATGTCCAATGACAAATTGCGTACAATTTTAAATAAAAACAACAAATATTAATAATAATCACCTACAAAATGTGACAAATAAATTTATGAATTTTGAATGAAAAACAAAATATGCATTTTTTTAAATCTACTCACAAATAATTGCGAGATTTTTCTATTTTTATCAAAAAGAAAAACAAAATATTTTTAAAGCAAAAAAAAAAAAAAAAAACGCCCCAAAGAGCCATTAGGTTTTTCTTTTCACCAAAGAAAAATAAATATATAAATTAATGAAAAAGTAATTAAGTATTTTTTTCTGTGGTCTACTGAATTGTCTGAAAATAAAGTTGAATAAAATGGTGGAATTTGTTGACAATATGAGTCTTTTAATA